GGTATGGAGTATGGGAGACGGACGAGAGAATCATAATCGCCGCTCCGTCCGCGCGCGGCGTTTTTTAACTCGTGTTAACCTGTCGACTTGGAGCACCGGACTTCATGTAGACCCCGTCATCGTAGACATTCATGACTATTTTCGGTTCTGAATTGCCTGTTGTCGCCATCTACCCTGGAACCATCGTCATTTGCGGGCGCGACGTCGCACGCGACGTCCACTAGCGCGGTGAATTATGATTCTCTTGTCACATACCCAGTGAGTATAGCTATTGACCAACAAGTCAGACACCGCTTGCTCCGAATTATAGAACTCGTTGGATCGCCAAAATTCTGAATGTGCCGAATTAAACATTAGGAGATGCAGGATCACTGGAGCCGATGTTAATGATCGAAAAATAATGGACAAATAAATAAATATCAAATTACGAACATTGTCCTGAGTCGTCTTCCAAGAAAACCCAGTAGCCTAGTGATCCGGACGAGTTTTCCAGTTTCAGATACTACATGTTACGTGATCGATGTGGTCACGCCATTCAACTGTCTTCTGTATTATCCATACCCTCCCTAATCAACTCTCGTTCGAGTTTTTAATAATTTTTAGACAAGTTTTGATTACAGCAGTTCATGCTAGTAATGAATGCTGGCCGGCTGTCGATATTGTTTGCAAACATGCTGTGCAACTTCCTTTTGACAATGATCAGCACCTCGCTTATATTAATCGTTCCTACAATACTAAGTCAGGTAAACAGGTTTTCGTAAAAAAGAGGGCGTGTGACGACGTCTGCCGCGCTGGTTCGCCGCACTTCGCACGCGACGAAGGTGCACGGCAATTTTGTCAGGGCAAGTCCCAGGGTGACTCGGCTACGTTCTTCAGGGCCATCTTTCTCGTTCGGCTTTCTTGAACCATGTGAAAGTGTACTTAAGTGCTTGAAGGGCACTGTCAAAAGAATGCAAAGGAGCAACGCTAGCATGGAATTGAGCAGTCGACCTTCTAAGCATGGGTTAGGATTCATAACTACTGATTCGGCGGCGGAGCACGGCAGACTCAATAGTGAATTTTCTCCCGCTCCCTAGTCTCTTCCAGCGAAGTTCGCGGTTGATATAGAAACCAGAATTGTACATTTCTCGAACCGCCACTTCCACCTACTATCCATCCCTTAAGAGTCAGTGGTGTTGTTGAAGTTAGGAGGCGGCTAGACTAGGACGCAGTCAGCGTGGTAGGGCGCTGGCTAGGGTTTGACTTATACGGAGAAAAGATAGCTCTCTCGCTTGGAGGGCGCGGACCAGCAAGACCAAGGCTTTCATTTCAGGATCTGCCAATGGGTCTCATGTACATGGTTCTCATCTTGCTGGCTCTTGGGATCGTCGTTCTCGGAATATTTTGCGCCACCGTTTTCACAAGCATCATTAGAGCGCTCACATGTGAGTATGATTTTTCTCAAGGGCTTATTCATCGTCAAGGACTAGGCCTCTGGGTGTAGGACTCTTCACCTGACAATAATCGGGTTCGTTTTATGAACGATAGTTTCCACCTCCCTCCATCAAACTTTCCGATTTCAGTCGCACTTCTGTTATGGCTGGTCCTTGTATATCTTGGTGTAAAGTCTCCACCTATTTATGAAAGCATTTGGCTAGTACTTATCAATCAATTCAACATTGTAGCCGCTTTTAAAAACATCCTAGAGTCAGTCGAGTACTTGGATTTACGAGGTAAAGCCCCTACCCGTAGTAATCAATTCATTTCCAAAAAAATCAATAACATTCAGGAACTCCTCTTGGTTTTTCAACATTGTTCACCTATGGCGATATCCTTGGTCCAGGGATATCCCTAATCTTCATTATATTAGATATAATCATTTACACTGGATTAATAATATTATATGACTCTATAGAATGGGCTGCTTTTATCACGAATCTTTACGCTTCTATAAGAAAGAAAAAGCTGGTTAGTTCCGATATACTGCACAATGTGGATACTAGTGTGAAATCATGAGCCTGGAGCCGCTATGAATAAAGACCTCCATAGCAGTTTCCTTGTACGAATTCTGGTTTCAGTTGCTGGTTTCATACCAACGAGTCGATATCTGCTGTCCCTGTGCATCCCCAGGCTCTTGAGTCGTTTCTTTGCATCATTTAATAATTACGTCATCCAGCACTATGAAAAAAAAACGATGGAATAGCGGAGTTACGGAGCTTATATCAAGGACAGCTTAAGACTCTGTGCTGTGCAAAATTGGGGCTATGCCGTCTGGACGCGCTGAGTTTTGGCTGCTGGCTCATATATGCAGTATCCCATCAAAGAAAAAACTGGGTGGTCGAAAATTCACGAAATCCACGAAGGCTTTTTTGCCTGGTCCTGATTGATGAAGTATTTTCCAGCAAGGAAGTTCTGAAAATGTTTGAAAAGGTGATAGTCGGTTGGTGAAAGGTCTGGAGAATATGGCGGTGAGGTAGAACTTCAACCCCAATTCGTTCAATTTATGGATAGTGATTGAAACGTGTGGGCGGGCGTTGTCATGCAAAGGAATCGGACCCTTTCTTTTGATAAGTGTTGGCTGCATCTGACAAAATTTTCGGTACAATTCGTCGATTTCTTCACAGTAGGGTTCTGCTGTGATTTGGCCTGGTGATAAAAAGTTATAGTGGATCACACCAGCCGATGACCACCACTGTGACCATAATCTTTTTTTCGTGAGGATTCGGCTTTGGAAATTGCCTCGGTGGTTCGTCGGCATCCAACCACTGTCCGGAACGTCTTGTTATCATACATGATCCACTTTTCATCACAGGTGACAATTCGGTCAAAACGGGTCGTTTCTGTTGCGCAAAAGCAGTGAAGAAGAAACCTCGAGACGTGCCAATTTCTGCCGGTCACTCAAATTGTGGGGCACCCACTTGTCGAGTTTTTTCACCTTCCCAATGCGTTTCAGACCATCCGCAACAGTGGATTTGCCAACGCCTAGCTTTTCTGCAATCTCTCGAACTGTTTGGGATGGGTCAGCCTCCACAAATCCTCGTCAGGTATTGCTTTAGGTCGACCGCTACGAGGTTCATCTTCAAGGCTGAAATCTCCAGAACGAAACCATTGTCGCACGGTGCTTTCTCCAACACTATTGGGCCCCCACACCTGGTTAATTTGTCGAGCTGTCTCGACTGCGGATTGACCCAATTTGTAGTTGTAAAAAAATAGTCCGAAAGCGCTGAGAACTTTCCGGACAACCCAATAAATAAGTCGTGTATGCAAGTTTTCTGCTGATTAGGTGATCTAGGCACGGCACTTCATCAATGAGCAACCAGCCAAAACTCATCCCCTCCAGACGGCATCAGTCTGAAACTTGGGTTACGGTAGTTCAACGAAGTACTGCACTAATGCAATGGCATCATTGGTGAACTGAAGCAGCACCTGAACAAATCTTACCTCGCTAGGTGAACTGCCATTGATTGCATGTGCTTTTTTGGAAGAAAGCATCCCAGAAAAGCAGTGAATCTTATGCGCATGAGCGCACTCATCAAGAGCAGGGCTGGGGTTTTTTCTTGGGAGGGGGTGGGATGACCACGCCCCCTCCGGCCTCTGTCCTCCTCATCGAATCGAGCCGTCAAGGGGGGGGGGGGTAAATAGCACATGTGAAACAGGAAAAGCCGCGAGACAATACGACCCTCCTTCTACCATTTCTCAGATTTTCCCCTACTTCCTGCCACTTTTTCAAAAATCAACAATCGAAATAAATTGTCCTCAACCAAACACGACCCCTCCTCTCCTGGCGGCCAAATACGATCCCCCCCTCACGATGTGCCGTGATCAAACGCTGGGTCAGATTTATGCCCGCCGTGCCACCAGAGAACAACTGGTCAAGATGACGTTAAAGACATACTGCATACCTACCCTGATGCTGATACCTGCCGTGGTGAGGTAAATGGGCCCACAGCTGCAATAACGTCCACTTTCCTTGGTCAAAAGTGCACGGGAACGGGGTTGGAGAGTATTGGGATCCGCGCGGCACCTCCATACTCCGCCCGCGCTGGAAAAGTCGGTTATGTGCCTAAGCATCGCCAAACGAGTTAATTGTCTGCAGCCTGTCACTTTCTTCTCTACCGCTGAGTGAGACGCTGTGGGACGTTGGCATCGACACGAGTGCTTCACCCTGAGGATAGCGCGGGCGGATGCGGAAACGGCATTAGAGAATCAGGTATTACTACCCGGATACCCCTACCCAGCTCGTTCTCGTGCACTCTGAGCGGAGAAAGTCGCTGCAGCGACTGTGGACCCACTGGGCTTGCCCATGGCAAGAATGGGCGAGGCGAATAGGCCTACGATCCTTGCATGGAGGTGAGTGTAAGTTTGTCTTCAAAGGGCGGGTTGTCCCTTTGAAGATACCGGCAAGACGGCCTTCAGGTCCTGACTCAGATTCGGTAGCAATGACCTTCAATGAAAGGAGCTATATTGTAGGAACAATTAAAAAGTCAGTCTGAAAGACACTCTTGGCATCAAGATGAGGAAGTACGGCAGTATTCTCCGGATATCGACGCCGAAGATGTGTCAAAGGTGTGGGAGACCAGTGGCGAATTGGCTGTGTATCGTTTCGAAATCAGAGCTTACACAGGAGAGGTTCGTTTCCATGCTCACTTGGTTTTCGTTTTTGAACAACCAAGCAATATCTTGCAAATGGGAACTTTTGAGTTTTTCTTCATAATGGCAGTTTTACCCATTGTTTCTTTTTATGGTGAAATATCGATCATTTGCGCGTGAAATCGATACTCATCGTGAAATGCGCGCATCACTCGTGCGACCAAAACAGAAAAGTGTTTTCCTGGGAATCCATTTTCAATAGATTCACATCTCTCTGCAATCGAATTATTATGGCTAATGCTATGAGGGCGCATTCCTTGATGAGGGGATGGGCGGAGAGTTCTAGCTGTAGATATGCCATGACAAACAGCGAGCTTAGAATCCCCTGACGCAATGTGTTGATGGTACATTCTACAAGAACCGATAGCCAGAGGCTCATGACTATTGTGTCTGCCTCATGACTGAGCTTTTGATTCTGGTAAGAGAGAGCTGGGGTGGGCCAGTGATAGGTCTGATGATAATGGGACTCCGCCCATCTTATTATCGTAGAATGTGTCGTGATTCCCCCTTGTTGGAGCTCCGTTGTTCAGTAATTAAAGTTTGCAAATGTGTTCATGTGAAGCACTGAAGTGTTCAATATAAAGAGTTCAAAGGGCTCAGAATTGTCATGTTCTAAGGTCTGAGATGTAGGAGTCCTAGAAGATTTTTCATTTAGACCCTAGACATTTCGCCACTAGAATTCTGATGGGGATTGGTTTAGGGCTCAAAGGAGGACTCCCACGAGTTTCAGATAGAGCAGAATGACGTTATATTCAGGTTTCTGTCCTTCTTGGTCACAGTGGTAGTGGTAAAACAACGGCGATAAAAATGGTTTGCGGTGATATCATGCCAACCCAAGGTAAGCATGTGGTTCTCTATGACCAACATGTGGTGGGTCTGTCCGGCAACTCCCACTCAAATCATTGGCGCTTTGCCTGTTCAGCGAGGCACCAATAGAGGCGCCGGCGGTGCCCGTAGCCTTGCCCACATTCCTGACACGGTTTCCGCTCACGAAACTAAAATGTGGATATTCAGGCCGGATCAGAGTCTGTGAGCAGAGTATCCTGCGAAAGAAATCGTTCTGTCGTTCAAGAATCGGATATTGCCCTCAGGCAAACATGTTGTATAACTCGCTCACAGTTATGGAACATATGTGGTTCTTTTACTCACTGAAACGTGCTCTTAACAAAAGTCAAAGGGCAAATCAAAGCAAACATGGGAAACAGAGGCCAACGTACTTAGTGGTAGTCTCGAAATGGAAGACATTAAAGAGAAAGTGAGTAACATATTATGGGCCTAGCGCCTAATTTTTTGTTGCTAAAACATACCCAGCTTTGTTTGACCCAAGGGAGCTGTGACAACCTTTCAACTGACAAGGGAATGGTTTGAACTTCCCATGGAACTTTGAATGGAGACCTAGGTACATCGATAGAGCCTCGAATGCTGATTACGAATATGCAGATTAAAAGTGCTACGGGGACCTCCCAGACGAGATCTGGGTGGTCAAAGTTTGCGAAAACATTTGCTTCGCTCCGTATAAGAGCTTCAACTCTAATTTTCGAAATTCTTCCGAATTTACGGCCCAGCAGGGCAAGTAGATCAAGTACATCAAGTATACGACGTACTCGATCTAGTATGGATTTGGTCATATCTGCCCTCTCTGAACATATTACCCATCCGACAATTCAAAGTTTTAGCGAGAAATTCGTTCATGGGAGATTTCGACCCCCTGAACACGAATATCACATCCTTCGACGAAAAAACGCTCGTCTGGCCAAATTGCGATTCTGGGCAAAACTTTGAATTGTCGGATGGGTAATATGTTCAGAGAGGGCAGATATGACCAAATCCATACTAGATACGTCGTATACTTGATGTACTTGATCTACTTGCCCTGCTGGGCCGTAAATTCGGAAGAATTTCGAAAATTAGAGTTGAAGCTCTTATACGGAGCGAAGCAAAAATTTTCGCGCCAACCGGATGCAAACCCGCATGCGTTTGACTTGAAAGCGAGACCATTACCACGAGGCCACGGTGGCACTGCCGAAGCATCGATCAGCAGCGCTTACGAGCCAGAACTCAAACTTTGACCACCCAGATCTCGTCTGGGAGGTCCCCGTAGCACTTTTAATCTGCATATTCGTAATCAGCATTCGAGGCTCTATCGATGTACCTAGGTCTCCATTCAAAGTTCCATGGGAAGTTCAAACCATTCCCTTGTGAGTCTACCCGTCTGCGTCCTCTTACCGAGCTAATGCTCATGTCTCAGACCTTATGCTATCTGCTAGTGCGCAGACAACCATAGTGGGCACAGCGTAATCTAGTACTGTCTAATTTCCTCACGGCACAGCATTGCGTTGGTCAAGCTTCGAATTAAACGCCCCCATAAAAGTTCCTCCTTCTGTATCGATGTACCTAGGTCTCCATTCAAAGTTCCATGGGAAATCCATTTCATGGGAAACCCATTTCACAAC